TCATTATAAATCCTGAAATAGAATCAACAAGCAAAAAAAACTTAATTCCATATTTAGATGGCTTTCCTTTCATGTAAGTTACATTCTTACATCTACCATAATAGCGATATAAATTTTCATCTATACTTATTTCTGTTGAGTTTAGATAATAATTGTTTTGTATGTCAATCAAATTGGAACGGAACCGTCTAATCAATTCACTTACATATTTAAAATTGTCCCAATTTAACTCTTCGTCTGGATACAATGAATTTATCATATCTTCCATATTAAGTCCATTGTGATTAGTCCTTGGTTGTATCAATACTGTTCTTGGGACTGAAAAAACTTCATGTGATGTTACATTATCGTGTTGTGAATGTTGTGATAAAGAATGAAGAGTAATAGCGTTTTGGGTGTTTGATGGTGTTGTTGAATTAATTAATGTTGTGGTACAAGTAGATGTAGTTTGTTGTGATGAAATAACAATTTGATTTGAACATTCTGTATTTTGAAATGAATTGATTTAAGTGCTTCCTATTGGAATATAATTGCAATTTCCTCCAAATTGCATTCTAGTAGCAAGAAAAATTGTATTCAATTTTGTCAAACTTGTTTTTGGAAACGAAGTAGTAAAATTGTTGTTAATATCAATCGGGTCGTCATCTAAATTATCAGGTTGAATTTCTTCGTCTCTTGCTCTGACTATGTCATCTTCGTCATCTTCGTCATCAACTACGACTGATTCATTGTTTTCGTTATCACCTTTTCGTAAAACTACGCGTTCAAATGCATTTGAATCAAATCGTAGTGCCCATTTAATTTGCAAATAACGACTAATACTAATTGGTCCAACATACATCGGTTTTGCTGTTACCCCACTCCACAAACATGAAAGGGGCAGTTTAGTATCAAGATAATTTGCCTGAAAAATAGAAACTGACAAAAAAGCATCAAATTCACTTTTGGTAATTTCTTTGAAGTGTTTACTTCCACTTTTGTTTTTTATTGCCTTTTCTCCAAATTTATTTGAAGAATTAATAATAAAATTTTTTATTTCTTCTGTAAAAAACAAATTGAAATAATCCAATGGAGTGACATCAATATTCATGTTAGATACTTTGGGATATCTATCAACAATAACCGAAAAGTCTTCATCGGTTGTTGAAAAAGAGGTTTTAACCCATGAATTTTTTCCATCTTTACTCATGTATTCAACCATAATATTTTAAATTAAAATTCAGTATATTTTTTATCAAGTTTGTTTGTAATAAAAAAATATTTTTTATGGCAAAAAATTACTCATCAATTATTGTTTTTGAAAAGCAATAAAAACATTTAAGTATTTTGTATTATATATTGATAGTATCGAGAAAAAAAAAGAAAATAAAAATTAATTATAACTATAAAATAATATATAAAGAACGAATACAAAACTGTGTTATAAATCAATTGGATTTATATTATCAAAAAAACAATTAATATGTGTTATTGTTATATCATTAGAAAACACACAGCAAAAAATGAAACGATAATATTTATTATTTAATATTTTTTTTCGTAACAATAGATTGCTAACTCGATAAATTGTTTTGATTTGTATAAGAGCGAGCAATGAATATGATGTATTTAACAAACAACTTAGTCAAAGGCGATAATGTTATTGTTACAACTTCAACGATTTATTTGTTTATTTGAAAAAAACCAAAGTCCAAACAATCTTGAATAAGCCTTTATATTACATGTTATTATTTTTAAATTTCCTGTTTATCGATCAAATACCATATATATCATCAATTCAGAACACGTGTATATTAAATTATTTGGACTTGTGTATATTGAACAACAACAATATGAATATGTAACATTTATCGATGTTATTTTGCCAACAAGAATTTAAAAATATTATTTATTTTTAGATTTTTTTATCAGTTTTTTATTTATAGAAAAAAAACGCAATTTTTTGCGTCTCGTGCATTTTGCTAAAGAAAAAAAATACTGTTGGTCGGTTAAGAAATATTCATACTCCTTCAGATTCGATTTATATTTTAATTTGAAAAACTTTTATAAATAAATATTATGGGTTTTTATTTAACTATAATATATTAAATATGTATTATAAAAATATAAAATATTTATATGATTAATAACTAATTATACATTATACTATTTCGGAATTGTTTTATACTTTTTAACAAAAAATCAAAAAACAGTAAACGAGGTCGAATTATGTTGGTAAAGATCTCGATATTAAACTTATTGGGAAATATCATTGGCCTCATACTCATCTTCGAACTCCGGTATGTCGTGTGCAACAACCGCTTTTCTCCTTCCAACAAATCGCTCTCTTTCAAATAACACCGGTTTTCACAAAAAAGTCATCATCAATTTCGATCTTTCTGGAAAGAACTTGACGCGCAAGCAAGTCTCTCCACCCTTGACGCACTGGGTGTTGAAGAACCCACACTTTCTCAACGCGTTGACAATGGTAACACCAGAAGTCGCTTTGTCACAAGACGCGTAGATCGATATTATTTGTTTGGACAAAGGACTTCTGGTGAATTCAATATCAGCCTTTGTCAATCTCCCCTCATATAGATCCCTTATTATGTCTTTCTTCTTACCTTTAACACAGATGGCGTCTTCCAAGTTCAAAGTACCCAAAACATGATCCAAATATTGCAAATCAATTGTTCTAAAATTTAAGTCTTCATCAACTTGATGAAGTTGGATAAGTTTCTAAAGTTTAGTTTATTATAATTATTTTTTTATAATTTTATTATTATAAACGAAACAAACATTTTGAACTCCAAAAACAGACACGTCAAGTGGTTGAGTGATGTGTGAAGAACGTGGGAACAATTTCAAAATAGCCATATGGTTGTTGGTGAACCACTTGGATGCTTCTTCATTGAAATGTGAACCAAGACCATCCATCACCACCACTGCTTACTCATCCTTGTTCTTTGCTATTCTTTTGTATAGCAAAATAAACCAAATAATAATCAAAACGGTTTTAAAGATTTAATAATTCAATTTGTTTGTGTTTTAGTTATAATATTTTGGTTTTATAATTGGTTAGTTTATTTGGGAAAAACGGGAAAATACTACAATTTTCATAAAAAGTTGTTTGTTTGGTATTAAAATTATGTTGTTTCATTTTTTAATTAAAAATATAAAAAAAACTATAAATGGTTATAATTGATGTTGATATCTTGAATGTTTGTAACTAAACTATAGTACAATTTTAAGTGTATTTATTCATAATTGCATTGTTAAAGTTTTGCATATAAACTGTAGTTCAAAAGTCTGTACCGCAGTATTTTTAAAACTTCCTAAAGTCCCGTTTTTTATTTTTTATTTTTTCTAAAAACAATGAAACATAAAATCGAAAGTACCGACTTAATTTTGAAAAAATACCAATCCCATTCAATTATTTTTGTACAAATTCGGGAATTTATCGGAATATTAGCCAGCCTTTTCCAAAAAACCCGATCCCGTTATTTGATTTGACCACAACTCGATACTTCACAACACAAACTCTACGTTGTTGGTCAAATCATACAACGATAAACACGTTAATAAATTGGGATGTTGTTGTTTGTGTCAATTTGTAACTAAATATCAGTTTCGTTAGTTTTTCATTTTAATTAAAAACAAACATGTGGTTTTGTTTTTTAAACAAAAGAAAATGAAATAACGAGTTTTAAAGAAAAAATAAATAAGAGCAAACAATTAATAATTTTGTGTTTTGATATTTCAGTCATTGTTGTGAACACCATCAGTATATCGATATTACGCAATACTTTAGCGCTTGTTATTTATTTTATTATTATAAATGAAGACTCGACTTTGAAAAAGATTGACATTAAATTTATCAGCTTTTTATAATAAAATGCACTTTGGGGAACATTCACGTGTTTTTCAGAAACAAAAATCCTGTTATTTCAAATTTTCTATGGATTTTTTTTAATGCTTAAAAATTCTTCAAGTAAAAAAATATTTTTTGAAGACTGTTTTTCTCTTATTTACTTGGAAAAAATAAGCGAATTTATTACAAAAAAACGATTCCCAAAAATAATAAACAAAATAAATGCAAAAAATCGGGACACCCCAGTACAGACTTTTGAAAACCAGTTTATAAATAAAATGTTCAAAGAAAAAAACAAAAAAATAAAATGATAGTGTTGCATAATCAAGACCAAAAAAATAGTTTTATTTTTAAGACCCCCTCTATTTTTACCCAGTCACCCTATTTTTGCAAAAAGTTTCATGGGTTTTGTCTAAAACTGTAATAATTTTATTATTATTGTAATTTTGTGATGTAGAATATACAAATTTAATTATTGACATGTTTTTTACGTTCTTTTATTTCTGTGAAAATACAAGAAAATTTGTTTTAAAAATCGTTTTTCAAAGTGTACCTTCTGTGTAAATAATTTGTTTTAGAAGCCGTACTAACCTTATATAGTGGTCGACCATTTTGTAATGCTATTTATAGTAAATTTACTTGTTATATTTTTAAATTACAGTTAATTAGAAATCCAATTTTATTTTACAATATTAAAATACAAAAAATGCTTATTTTTAATGAAATAATTAATGTTTTAAACAAAGTTAATGTTTTCTATTTTAACATAAAAGCATATTATAAATTGTTAATAAACAACAACAATCAATTTAAAATGATGGAAAAGTTGAACGAGACTCAAAAAACGAAAAAGAATGAAACATATTTGTATGTTTTTTGTTTATAATTCTCCTAATATTTATTATTTATTATTTGTTTAATATTTTTAAGTTATCCTTCTTTTTAGCCATTTCGAATAAAAACTACTTGTGTTAATGTTTACAATCGTTTTTAATATCTTATCACTACGATATGATGGTAAAAATTGTTGAAACAAGAACTCCACATATTAAACATGTCAGATAATAATTAGACAATTTGTTTTAAACAAATAAATAAAAATAAATAACTCTAAGTTTAAAAACGTTTTAATAAACTTGGTTATCATTTAATGAAAACTTTAATATTTTTATCATTTACAGTATTTACAGCTTTTTCGAATAATTGTGATCCGCCTGTAGAGAATTGCCTTACATGCAAAAAAGATCTTCCAAATCAATGCGAAATGTGTGATTTAAAATACTATTTAAATAATAAAAAATGTGAAGTGTTTATTAAACTGTGCTGTATGTAACAATGGTTCTATTTGCGTCCAATGCTATAATGGATATTATCCCGAAGGAAGTAAATCTTGCAAAGCATGTCGAACTAATTGTGCAGAATGTACTAATGCGACGAGTTGTACTCAATGCACAAGTGGTTATTATCTTAATGAAAAACAATCTTGCGAACCATGTCAAAGTAATTGTGCAGAATGTACTGATGCTGACGATTGCATCAATTGTAATAACGGATTTTATCTAAATGGTAACACATGCACAAAATGTACGACTGGCTGTTCTGTTTGCAGTGATGCCACTGAATGTTCTAGCTGTAGTGACGGGTATTATCTTGAAGTAAGTAATTGCAAAGCAGAAGCGGAGTGTAGTGCTACTGCAATAGGATGTTCGAAGTGCAAAGCTGATCAAACAACATGTCTTTCATGCACAGTTGGTTATTATTTGAAAAGTGGTTCTTGTATAAAATGTACAATTGGTTGTTCAGTTTGCAGTGATGCTTCTACTTGTTCAAGTTGCAGTGATGGTTATTATCTAAAGGGTGAAATATGTACAAAATGTGGATCTAATTGCATACAATGTTCTGATGCAAAAGTTTGTTCAAAATGTGACCCAAATTTTGTTGGATATATTTCTTCTGAAGGTGTGTGTACTGCCTGTAACGTTGCATATAATTGTGCCACGTGTATCGAAGACACAACAGATACGAATGGTGTCAAATGTTTAACGTGTAATGAACAAACTAAAAACAAATACATGAATGGTAATAAATGTGTTGATTGTGCAAACGGAAAAATAACATCAGATAAAAAGTGTGATACATCAGAAAACGCATGTGGAAGTGGATGTGCCGCATGTGAAGAAGTTGCTGGAAGTTCAACAACAAAATGCACCAAATGTACAAAAACAACTGATTACGTTAATCTTGATGGAACTTGTGATTCAACATGCAAAATTGGTAAAGCTAATAAAGATATTATGACTTGTGAAGAATGCACTATTAATGACTGCGAAACTTGTGAAACAGTTGGAACTGCTGAACAATGCACCAAATGTGGAACAAAATACATTTCTACCGACAAACTTTCATGTGGTGATTTATGCACCGTTGGTAAACCAGTTGAGACTCCAGTCAAAAAGTGTGATATTTGTGCGACTGCTAATTGCGACGTTTGTGATAAAAAAGACAAGTGCACTCAATGCAAAAACAATTTCTATCTTGTGCCCGACACTTCGAAATGTGTTGAGAAATGTCCAGAAGGATATATGACAGATAAAACCAAAAAGAAATGCATAAAATGTACCATTGAAGGTTGCGCAATTTGTGAAAAAGTAGATGAATGCACCACATGTATGGCTGAATACAAATTGGAAGGAGGAAAATGCAATGGAGATAATGCCGTTTATGCAATTTTAGCTATAGTCATGATAGCTTTCTTACTTTAAAATTTTAATTTGAGTTTTTAATCTAATTTGTTTTTTAAAAATAGCCAAAACATAATAATATATAATATTTATTTAAAAATTAATCATCATCATTTTTTTGATATTTCATATAATATTGATCTAGAGTTGGAAGATAAAAGTTTGTCTCGATAAAAAAGTTTAGCTCGTTTGCAAATTATAGTAAATTATAATATTTGTTGCTAAAATATTAAAAACATTTTGTATTATTTCAAAAACATATATTAAAACTCCAAAAAATCAAAATAATATAAACTAATAATAAATAATTGTTTATAATAAAATATTGTTATTCTTATCGAGCCAGACTTTTTTCCATTACAGTTAGTTTCAAATTAATTTAAAAATGTTCAACAAATAAATATGATTGTACCAAATAAAATAAAAATATTATCAAAATAAATTTAAAGTGTTTCACAAAAAACAAAAATGTACCTTTTTTTTCAAATGTCTCATAATTAATTATTATTGTTTCAAATAAAATTGTTTTTGTACAAATTAAAATTAAAATTGTTTCAAAATTAACATTTTTTGTTTCAAATAAAATTAACAAAAATAATAAACATTTAGCTATTAATCGTTTCTTTTCATCACTTTTCGGCTATTTCGTTGAAAAAATTACCAATAACTTTTCTGACATCAAACTTTTCGATACTTTCAAAACAATCTCCAATATTTTTTAACAGTTCTTTTAAATCATTGTTCTCGAGTTTACCAACTCTAGTTTTCCATATACCAAATATGTTTTCAATCGGATTGCACTCTGGAGAATATGGAGCATTAAAAAGAACTCTGCAGCCTCTATTTTCTGCAAGCTTGATGATTTCTTTTTGATGTACGGCAGCGTTATCCAATACAAAAACGACATTTCCAAGCAAACAGATATAATGTTCAACAAGCAATTTAAATCCAGCAGAAAATATATCTCCATCAACGACTTGATTAAACACCCTGCAAAATTTGCCTCCACTTTCTGCAATCGAACATATACAACTAATATTGAATGTCGACAGGAGAGAAATTCTAAAATGTTTTTGCTCTTTTAAACCCCAATGTTTTGTTCTTACATTACCCAATTTCCAATGAGATTCATCAACAAACACTACAGCAAATCCGGCTTTTTGACAACTTTTCAACTCTAACAATCTGTTGACACGTAGTTCTTTATTTTCTAATGTGTTGGCAACTTTTCCTCGTATTGACACTTTTGTAAATGACAGAGGATCTAGTTTGACATTTTTCATCAATTTTTCATTGGTTATGTACCTGTCTAATGAAGATACAGAAATATCGTAATTTTTTTCTGCTAAGGCCTTTTTGGCTTGCCTCAGAGACATATTTTGTTGACAAAGAAGCGAAGTTACCTCTTTCAACATGTCGTCTGTATATTTTGGTTTTCTTCCTTTCTTCTTCTTTGTTATATCGCTTCCATCTTTTAATTTTTTAATATAAAATTTCACTCTTTCTGTTGGTATTTTGGTTTTATTTACATACCAATCAACGAATTGAGACAATCCATTTTCTTCATACAACTCTCTAAGATATGAAATTTGTTCATCCGTGAGAGTATTATAACATCTATTTCGGTGCTTTTAATGTCTTCTTCCATTTGAGAAGATAATTGAGGATGATAATTGATTTGTTGTTCTAAAAGTGTACTTTCAGTAACTGGAGAAACATTTGGGGGAGTGTTTGGAGGTTTACATAAAGGTCCTATAAAAGGGTGTTTGAACAATGCAATTTCAGACTTAGGCACATATTCGATAGAGTCACTCATATTGATTATAAAGTTTAAACATGTGTTTATGTATTCATTTATTTTGTTAAATATATTTAGAAGTTATAACATTTGCCAATTATTCAAGTTATAATTTTCATGTTTTTGTCAATTTTATTTGAAACAAAAAATGTTAATTTTGAAACAATTTTAATTTTAATTTGTACAAAAACAATTTTATTTGAAACAATAATAATTAATTATCAGACATTTGAAAAAAAGGTACATTTTTGTTTTTTGTGAAACACTTTAAATTTATTTTGATAATATTTTTATTTTATTTGGTACAATCATATTTATTTGTTGAACATTTTTAAATTAATTTGAAACTAACTGTAACTTTATAATAATTACACGAAAAACACAACACAATTAAAGTTAAAACAAATGTTACAACTTTAGTGTTATTAAAAGTCAAATCATTGTACTTTAAATTTTAAACTATTAATTATAAAAAATATATGACCAATTAATAGTTTTTAATTTTTTATATCATATTTCGTTATATCATATAATTAATTATGTGTTTTGATACTTGTTATTTCAAATAAACACAATTTAAAAAATTTAATTTAAATTTTTTTAATCGAAGTCCTATATTTTTTAAATACGTATTATTTTTATATGCTTAAAAACATTTATATTTTATGAAAATGTACTACAATAGGCGGAAATAAGGGGATGCTAGAAAAAGAAGGATGCTCGCAACCATTGGTTATTTTTCAAACAAAAAAATAAATGTTCAAAAAATGTATATTCTTAACACTTCTAAAATTTTAGTTGATTTACTGTATTTTTATTTTTATAACAGAAAATAAAACCACATCATTTTTTGTTGAACAATCGACTGTTAATATTTTTCATTTTTGATTAATTCTTCTTCGTTAATTTCTAAATGAATATTATCGTTAATTTGACGAATAAAGACTCCACCAAGACGTTATAAGTTATATGTTTAATGTTCATTTTCAAAACAAACATAACCATAAACACAATGAATCGATAATTATGTGCATTTAGATAAGCAGTCATAAAAAACTATCAGTTGTATTGCTAAATAAAAAGAAAATGAAAATAAAACAAGTTTAAACAATTATTTAGTCTGTAGTCAACACACAACACCATTCCCACAATAGAATCAGTGTGAATTTATTTGGAATGATTTGGAGAAGTAATCTTGGACATCAACTTATATTTTAAACCTATACTGCCTCTTCCAAACAAATAATATTTAATAAGTTTGTAGAAGTGCCAATTGAATTTGCTAACTTCCGTCGTTCTCATGAAATACTATAATTTTCTTCCGCTTTCTCTGTTCTGTGTGTTAGTTGATGTGGAGGTGTAATTGAATATATCTTTCATAAGTAAAATAGACACCAACTCTTAAATGGTTACTTTAAAAGTACAAACCAGTGATATTGTTGTTCCATTTAATTAATAATAGTTCTGAGTTTCAACTTCATTTATTAGTTTTATAAAACATTTAAATAAAATATAGTTTATGTTTGGTTTTAATTCAAGACCCGCATCCCAGTTTTATTACTTTTTATATAATTACTATAAATTTTAACAAAAAATATTATTCAAATAATTAATAAAATGAAAAACACCAAAATAAATTTATATTTAGATTAGCATCTGCCTTTTTCTCAGCATCCCACTTTTTCCCTCGACTGTAATCAATATTAAACCCCTATAAATTCTTAAACCCCTCATATCTAATCAATTCAAGTTTTAATAAAATATTTAAAGAAGTTCTTAATTAAAAATCTCAGAACATCAAGAAAATGGCAAACAACGCCAAGAAAGCGAAAATACTATTTGCGGCATCATCATTTCTCTTCTCACACTTTCCATCTTTAACGTCATAGTCCCCACTGCATTGTTGGCATTCCTCGACTTTTGAATCACATTTGGCGCAATTTGAGACTCTGCACTTTTTGCAAGCAAAAGCACCAGCTGTGCTATCGGTCTTGTATCCACTATCACATTTGGCAACACATTTATAAGTGTCTTCTACAACATACAATTTGTCGTTGCAAATTGCACATTTGTTGATATCAGTTTCGATACAAGTCTTGCAGTTCTCGACTTTGCAAGTGATTTTTACACATTTCTTAGTTTCTTTGTTTGCTTCATATCCTTCAGGGCAAGTTGTAACACATTTCAAATCTTCTGTGAGATAATTTCCATCAACACAAGTTGTACATTTTTGATCTTCACTGCACAAGACACAATTTTCAGTTGTGCATTTCACACATTTCATGTTTGTTGTGTCTTTATATCCACTTGCACAGTCTGTTGCGCAACTTTTTTGGTCAACTTGAAGATAATAGTTGGATTTACATTTATTACAGATATCAGTCTTTCCCTCAACACAGGTGTCACAATTATCAACATTGCATATTTGAGGAGTATCAGCAACACACTCCATTTTTTCGTCATTTTTAACAGTGCCTTCAGGACATTGGGTGACACAAGTGCCTTCACTCAAATAATATGTAGCTGCACATTTGGCACAGATGTCAGTCTTTTCATCAGCACAAGTTTCACAATTTACAACTGTGCATGTCTGTGTATCAGCAACACATTTCATGTTTGTTTCATCCTTTTTTGAACCTTCTGGACAATCCAACCCACATTTGTCAGTCAAATCCAAATAATATGTTTCTTTACACTTTACACAGACATCAGTCTTTCCCTCAGCACAAGTTTCACAATTTTCAGCTGTGCATGTTTGAGGAGTATTAGCAACACATTCTTTTGTTTCCTCATTTAAAGTTGTGCCCTCTGGGCATGTGGCGACACATGCTCCTTGATTCAAATAAAAAGTTTCTGCACATTTATCACAGACATCAGTCTTTCCCTCAGCACAAGTTTCACAATTTTCAGCTGTGCATGTTTGAGGAGTATTAGCAACACATTCTTTTGTCTCCTCGTTTAAAGTTGTGCCTTCTGGGCATGTGGCAACACAAGCTCCTTGATTCAAATAAAAAGTTTCTGAACACTGAACACATTTACTTTTCGTTTCTTCGTCGCAACTCACACAGTTTTCAATTGGGGTTGTACAGTCAGCTGCAAAGACGGCATAAGCAAATAAAGTACAGAGAATGATTTTTTGCATTTGGTGATTGTAAGATTAAAAAATACCTTTATATAATTTTTTCAAAATGATGAACATTTTATAAATGTTTATTTACTGGACTGATTTAAGCAAAAAAAACACAACACTGTTTGTTATGTGAACATTTCTCGTTTCAAACTTATTATTAAAATGTTTTGTTGTTTACCTTCACAATAATTATTCATTTAATGTACTTTGTTATAAGATAACCAATCATTAATGAGACTAAATTTAAATTATCACTCAATGGTATCATAAATTAATGTATTCAAATTTAAATTTTAAATGAAAAAATTAAATTAGACATTCGATTGTGAATCATTTTTTTAATGAATGGTATTTAGAACGTATGAGAGACATGTTGAAATATGAAAAATGGTAAATAATGGTATGTGTTTTTAATTTGTTTTTGATTTTTATAGTTTATTATTGATATGATATATTTAATGAGTGTTGTTAAATGAACTAATTTATTTTTATACGAATCACAATATGACAACATTTTGTCGATAAAATATTTGTAGTATTAAAGTGAAACAATGTTATACAAAAATAATAATATAATAAACTGTAATTACACATTTACATTATTATAAAAATTTAATTTGTAAACGACAATATTTTAAATAATTAAATCGAACAATTTAACAAATATACTATAACTGTTACATATAATAATAAATGTTAATAAATTATTATGACATCACACGTTGAAACGAAAAATAACAATAATAAATTTAATTATTTGTTAAATTAATATCAAATTTTAATTTAATTATCGGTGTAATTAAATGTTATTATAAAATTGTAATACTTCACATGATACAATCAAAATTTCACGTTATTTTCATAATATTTTTAAATTATTGTTTTGTAATATTTAAAAAAATACAATAAAATATATTTGAATTGTATTTTTTATATATACTTTTTTGATTTTACATTAAAAATGATATATTTTTTCAAACAAATAATTAAACTTAAAAAATATCGTTTTTTATAATTATAAAAGTTTTATTTATATAAATGAAAATAATTAAAAACATTACACACCCCAGAAAAACCTACCTGGTAACTATAAAAATGGTTTATGAAAACCATTTAATAGTTTTTTCAATAAAAAATTTAAAAAAAGACAAAAAACAAAAAACTATGATATACTATAAATAATTCTATGCCGGTATGTTTTTTCAGGATCTGTATAATCTGGAACAACTTTATTTGGAATAATATATCTAATAAATTTCTCTATTAAAAATAAAAATATTACAATCCCAGATTGTGTGTATTTTTAATAAATATAATAATGTCGAAATGTTTGTGTGTTAATATCAAAAATACGAATGTCATTATATATATATACTATGAAATTTAAATAGAAATTATTACATTTGATAAAATATTAAAATTTTGTGAAAGGATATTGAAATTTATTTGAAATAATTCAATTATAAAACAGTTTAAAATTTATATAAAATGACACAAGAATTTGAATATGTCAACGCTATTAATAATCTATATATTTAAAATCTCATAAATAGAAATTTATCGTTATTTTTGATTTGAAACACTGATAATTAAATTCAAAACAATTATTTAATTTATAATAAAACTTTTGATAATAAATATATATTATTGCTAACTCTGTTTAAAACAAAGATATTAATTGTTGAATTAATAAATTGCTTTTAATTTTTAAATCAAAGTACTATTATCATCTGTGAAATATCTCAATTTAGGTGTTGCAATTATGAAATTAAAAGGCTAAGATAAATATTAATTATAAATCCAAATACATCTGAAAATATTCAAAATTAATGACTTTGGAACAAAGGGAAAAAGAGAAGTTACGTTGCATAGCGGAACGGACCCTGTTAACTAATTTGCAATGTACGTTATTAGCATTTATAGCAACTAAAGCTGATATCTTGTTGTCAAAACCAAAAAGAGTTAACGCCTTATCTCTTGAATTTTTAAATATAAAATCAATCACATTTTTACGATCGGAAAGTATTTTCACATTTGACTTTCACTGTTTTATGAAACGAAGAAGAAAAGAAAAATTGATTGAATTTTCGAAGGAAGGCATTAAAGCAAATCAATGTAGCCGAATCATTCAAAATGAAAAGAAAAGGGACGTTTTACATATATTAGAAGACTTTTTATTTGAAGATGGATTCATAGTGTTTTATGAGAATGAAAACAGAGAAGGAATAAGAGGTAATTTAATGATACAAATGCCTGATGGAAATTATATAGACAAAGACATGATAATAAAACTTGGGAACATCATATGGAAATCTTGTTATGATATTTTGGTGCAAGAACAAAAAATGATA